ATTAGTACTGCTGCATTCGAGCAATAGGAAATAGGAATTCTGATCCAATGAATGAGGTCGAATATTAAGCCCACCCAGAAATAGTGCATTCTGCCATGCGCAGATTCGAGGGCTCTGATATCTCAATACTGCTGCAAAATATTTTTATCGTAACCAGGTTAGGTGTTGTACCAGGTAGTTGGGAATATGTGCCGGTTATACCAAGATATGCCAGTTGGTCACGTCAAATACCCAGGAATTACCAACCCAACAGTCATACTTCCATTCTAATTAAAACCATGGAACAGGCAATAAAAGGTAACATTGTCAAATTCCTATCGTCCCGGAATTTGAGCAACACTTCCAAGCATTGGTTTCTGAGAGCACAGTTATGTATATCTTGTTAATTAAAATAATTAAACGTAGTTACCCATTTAGTTGAGCCTGGGAAGCGTCTGATCATGGTATTCTTTGATATGCGTAAAGCATTTGACCGGGTACTAAATGGGAAGCCTCTGTTGAAAAGAAATTCTTTTGCTATAACTGACAATTTACAATTTTGATATCATAATACCTTTCGGATCAGTATCTTGCAGCTAAAATACTACGCAAGAATTCCATAAGTATACAAATCACAAGCGGCGTGATCCAGTGATGTGTTCTAAAGCCGCCGTTGGATTTTATGTACATTAATTTTTTCGATTTCATCAAAACCATCTGTATTCCCCGTTGACATCAAAATAGCTTATAAGCTCGATTCGGATAATAACCATAACGTTTTAGCCGACTTACAAACAGATCTGCGCATTCTGGAAACTTGGTAAAGCACCAGAGAAATCCAAGTCTCATCCGAGAACTTCAACCGCATTTGCTATCGGTACAGCAATGCACCCAACTCGTTAATGCTAGACGGTAAAAGTGTGTCCATATGTCTCACAACTCGTACACTTTTGCTGCATTACTCCAAATGTTTCAATTTTGTCCAAAAGGAGCGTACTTTGTTGCAAAAGCCCATAAACTGTGAGAGCTACTACTCCAGTCATTTTTTGAATGCATTTAATATCTACATTTATAAATTCGTATTCCTCGCTTGTTAAAATGTGGCTCAATGATATACTCTAACCCAACAAAAGGTTTGAAGCTGCAACTGAAAATGCCCAGAGCTCCTAGAAGAAGTGCCCAATGAGAACTTGGTAATCATACTGCTGATGTGAGAAGAACATCGAAGCCCTCTGGTTACTGAGACCAGAACTCAACCTGAGCTTTATGTCTGATAGAATTTACAGATGCACCTTTAACTCAGATATTGGGGTGGTATTTCAGCTTTCCCTTAAGTTCAATGTAAGAGATCTAACACGTTAAGATCAAAATTCTCTCCTAATAGCTACACCGTTGTATGGAACATGTTACCGCAGACATTGTTAACATGCGGCTAAAATAGAGTATTTCAGGCTCCACTAATTAGGTGATTGACAGTGAATCAAAGTAGAAAATATGCTCAACGTAGATGTGTGTAACTACTTACATGAGGAAACGCACAGTGCCTTATTTTGGAAAACAAAATTCACAGATTCGTAGTCAATCTTCCTCTATCACATAGTATGCCAATGTTCGCTGCTTACGAAAAGAAGCAACCGATCGTATGACAACATGCGCGCGTAGAACCACTTGAAACATGATGCTTCCTTCATTTATCTCCTATTTGCACACATTTCCGGTGCTTTTCAGCGGATACCCGTGGGTTTTTTGCACAGAACCTCAACTTGGACAGCAAAGCTAACCCATTGACATTGTCTTTAATCCTAAATTCACTTCCTACTCTCATTTCACCTAACTTAACCATATACTATGAGCCTGTATCAAACCAAAGGCCCTGATATGTATTTGTTTGTTTGACATTTTCTCGATTTTCGTTGTTTACTTCCATCCAGGCATTCAGTTTGCAGGTCTCAAGCCTAACTTGCTGCTCTCAAGTCCACAATCAAGTTTATGCAATTCGATTTATTTCTCACTTCCATTCTTAGGCCAGCATCCGTTTATATTCATTGGCACTAACAGCACGTTGTCACTAGGAAAAGCAAAATCAGAGGCAAATGGATAACTCCCGATAGTATATATATATATATATATATATATATGTATATATATATATATATATACCACGCATAGACATGTTGGAACATACCCCGACTTAAATGTTCTACTACGCACTAGTTTTTATTTACACACTAACGCGTCTTCTAATTTCCATCGCTATCGGCACTCTCACTTGCATCTACTGGAACATGGCATACAATCATCGGTGTTAACAAAGAGAAAACCCGGAGGGCGAACAGATTTATTGCTCTGCGTCAAGAGCATAGCGCTGATTTCAAGCTGTATGAACGGCAGTGGAAACTGAACATCGCACCGTCCACATTTTTCGTAATACAACATGTGCATTATTGACTGCTGAGATGCGCAATTCAACCACTTTTGCATATATTTATATACATGAGGGTATACATTATGTAACTACCGACATTTGCCCTTCGTGAGCGCAGTCGCTTGTTAAATCGGGCAAGCTATATGCAATCCGGCTGTTTTGCGTGAGTAACTTGCACTGGCGGCTTTTTAACTTCCAGTTGTAACTAAGTTTAACTTGTTGACGACCAACGTGGTTTCGGTCGTTATTAGGTCGCCAATGTTGACAGCATCCTAAGTTTAAACAAAGGTGGAATGATTTTAACAAGTGTGTAGTAGCTTTTCGTTGTAAAGTCTTGAGAGCTGCGAGATCTTGCTTGTACCAGTGCTACTAGGCGTGGATAGTGTATCCCACATGCGGCCACATGCATGCGTTAGTCAGCCGCGCGCGGACAGATGGATCAAGCCGATTGAATGCCATTCGCAGGATACCAACGGGTTGGTTCTCAGACTGCTGTGCTTTCTCAGCATGTGTTGGATAACGCCGATCAGCCCGAACTAGAACTCCAAAGCCGCGCTTCTGGGTGACTGCTTGCAGTTTATAACCCCAAAACTTGTATATTTTGCTTGGCTGATGACGAATGTGGACCGTCTCATATTCGACAAACTGAACTGCCGCAGATTTTCGAATGGCTATACATACGTGTTGTGCAGGTTTCGCTGTAGTGCATTGTATTCTCCTTTATCTGCGATCACCCATCACACGTTAACACTGACAGCACAAGTTAAGAAATCTGTGACGATTCAACGTTTTGACAAATTTTCGTGCAGAGTTTACGGTAAACTAGACTGGCCGTAAAAACCATTAAATAAACCTCATATTTAACTGTTAAAATTCTGTAGCTAACCATTAGTATTTTACAGGAAAGCAGTGGCATAAAACTAGAGCCCTGCATGCAGCGACCAAACGGGTGGCACTGGAGGCCTACGACAATGTGTCAAAAAGGTTTTCCGAGCTTCAGCTTTGAAATACCTCCTTCGGTTATGAATTCACTACTAACGACTTCAGTAGGACATCAACTACCAAACGGTACCAACAATGACAGTTCGATTAACTACAGCGTACAGTTAGCTCTCCATCATGCTTTAATGTTCAGCCGGTTTTGAAATATTCTTAACGTTGTTTCATGTGGGAAGCACACTCTACGATAAGTTGCTCACTATTTAGGTTGACACGAACTCGGCTTCTTTGAAGGGCTCTAAAATGAGTCAATCTAACTGTGAAGCCAACTGCAAGTATCATACTCAATATCGATAGCTCAGTGCCTGGTCATTTCGGTCCACCAGTCTATTGGGTTAGAAGTTTCAGTTAGACCATCAACTCATGCAAAGTGCTGATTGGGAAAAAACCCATCCTTACATAAAATATTGCGCTTTTGTATCATAACAAACAGTCTTAATATCTGATCTAAATATGACGAGGGTGAAGGTTAACCTCAAAATGAGGTTAGTTACAAATGTAACCGCTTGCCGCATTCCAACTATTCAGACTGAGGCCAACCCAAGTTAAGTAGCCATAGTTCTACAGTCGGTCGCTCACCCCAGCTTATTCCCACTTCTGTTATGACGCCGCCTAACCTACCGTCAATCACGGCTTAGATAATCGCTATGGTCAGGTATCGCAGTTAAGCTTGCCACCATAACCTGGTATATCTTAACCCTGGCACCCTTATCTTCAGCAGCACGTGATCTAACTCTCCACATAGAGCGGGTTATATAAGTGCTGTTCTATTTGCAAAGTGACCGAAAGTTAGGGGGTCCACTACATTTCTAGTTCCAACAATGTTTAGTAAGTGGGCAACTAGATAGGCATGCGGAATAAATGTTATTTATTCACCGAGCACTCATTGTTCTATGGTAGAAAATTGAGCAACGTGTAATGAATCACAACTTATGGTCGGAATTTTCGGGGATGCTTAAAACAGTAAGGAGCATTCAATGAGAAAGTCAACTATAAGTACTGGACATGCTACCTTGCACAAAAGCGATACATGACCCGACAGAATGTGGATTTATGGAGGCTTTAACGAATACACACTGTTTTGCCAGCAATAAATCCTTGCTGCCTGCGACCAAAGTGACATCGACTACTTATGATGGGCGTTTTCACCTGGTTCACTTCAATTTTCGGATTCCTGGTGAATTGATAGCTTAAAATAGACATTTTACTCCTTTTCCTTTTATCAATCCTTCGGTAGCACTTTCTGGTACACGCCTTTTGAAGCTCTGTTAGTTTGACACTCATGAGCCATACTTGCAGCACTTTGTAAGCACTACCTAGTCGACATATTCGAGGAATCTCGTCTGTACAGCGCGTAGTCTTATAATACTTTGAGACTCGAATTGGTGACAGACCGAACACTTTTGCCGAGATGCACCAACCACCAGTGGAGCTGTGCTGTGCCGCTCAACATAAAAAAGCAACGTGTACGATCGGCAAAAAGTATTTATTGAATGATTTTTCCCAGGGTAATTTATGAAGGATATGATGGACAAATTCAGTTGCTCCTTACAAAACGTTTACGCTGCAATTATTTAATTATGCAGTGGAGGTGGGGCAAGTAAATCGCTAATGTCAACAAAATATATAATTCATTGTGCGCTAAAAACGGTTGATTGATGTGGTTCGCTAAATAATTTGTCTTTACAATCGTGATGTGACCTTCGAACTATCGTCCTCAGGTTCATTCGCCTTGTTTGATTTTGACACGGATGATGTCACACCTCTCAAATTTGAGCCAGCTCCGTCCTCTTCCCCGGTCGTATCAGATAGCAATAAAGTAATCAGTCCCGACACAAGTGCAGCAACAGCGTATATGATCACCGGTAGACCGTGTTTCTGAGACTGGTCCAGCTGGTTTGCAAAGGTTGCTACAGCGGCTCCAAGTCGTCCAAGCCCAGCCGCAGTCCCAAATCCCTGAGCCCGAACATCTGGAGGGTACAACTCAGGAATGTAGATGAACATCATGCATTGTAATGTAGTAAAGAGCATAATAGTGATGATGATACTAGCCGAGAGAGCAATATCTTCTTCCGGCTGCACGATGTATGTGTAGACACCCCCTGCGCACAACACGATTGCTGCTGACATGTAGGTCAGCAGCAGTGGGAGTCGGCGATGATGTATGCACCCGTAGGCCACGACAGCAATGATGACACCCGGTATTGCCACAGCAGCGACTATCAGTGATACTACAGACACAGTTTCACGAATCATGCGCGTATACAAAAGGCAACCAAGGGAGGTGAAAGCAAAGAGGAAGAAGAGCAAAGTGGAGACAACCGTGGTTTTCAACATGTAAGGTGTGGAGAACAGTTTAGATATTAATTGGTCTGTTGACTTCTGCTTCGGACCAATAACCCTGTGGATTTCCTCGTTCAACTGTTCGACACTGATGCACATCACTGAAGGTCGCCTTGTCTCTTGTTCTATAAGTCGTTCCAGCTTGGATGAGTCGCCTTTATGTTTGCGATCAAAAAACGCATTAATTCGCCTGCCGGTTTGCAGCACATAGATCGCTTTAATTGTCTGGTTACGTGCCAGTAACCATCGAGGGGATTCGGGAACAATGAAAAAGTAACTAAACACCAAAACACAATGAATTGTTGCTGCCAAGTTGAGCCAGCGCCAGTTCCAGATGCCCCAAGCGAATGCTGCCAGCAGAGCCCGGGACGTAAAATTAAATCCAAGCAAGTACAAGGCATTTGTGATGCTTCTATAACGAGGAGTAGTGATATCCAATATAATCAGGTTGAAGGAGCTTAATTTTCCATACGCTCCAATGCCAACAAATAGTCGGAGTAAAGTAAACATCCAAAAAGCAACCGACGCTGAACACAAACATGATGCAATTAGTTCGACAAACGAGAAAAATATTAACGAATGTTTCATTCCAAATCTGGCGGACCAAAACCCACCAAACAAATATCCAAATATCATTCCAACCATAAAAACTGAAGTGCCCACTGGAAGAAGCCAGACCTGATCGCAAACTAGGTTAAATTCTTCTACAATTCCACCTTGATACTGGAAGTCCATATAGCGATAAACGTACCCTTCGGCCTGGCATGGCATGGTCTTGGTAGAGAGATTGTCCGTTGACTGACCATGAAAGGTCGAGTTCAGGTGATTTCTCCAATCTACGTATAGATGGCACCCGCTGTCCACGGAGTGCGGCCCTAAATCCTCCGTCCATCCTCCGGTTATTTGACCTATATCGAAAAAAGAGAACTGTTTCTCCTTCAAGAATGTCTCCGTTTCACTGTCCAAAGCACAACGCTTCAATGGTTCTGTGTCGGAGAAAACGGGAAAGCTGGATGCAGCAGTTGTACTCAAAATCCCAAGTAGAACGAGATAACGTTGCCAAAGACCAAAAGAGCCAACTTCGGATTCCAATATTTCGTCTATGCTGATCAGTTCGGTCTCTACGAGGCCTGCAGCTCCAGGTGCCTCGGCCACTGCCTTCAGCTGTACCACCAGCGAATCAGAGACCCTGCGAAAACTCATGGTCAAATGTGATCGTTTGCAGTTGCCCACGTTATATGACAAATATACTTGTACTTACACTAACTTCAGATTTCATCCGTCTGTGCTCTCTTCATTGGACGTCCTATACAACAACAAAATGGGACTCATTAACTATGCACAATTCACCATGTGCCTCATAATCAACGTTTCGTCTGTACAAGACAAAGTAAATGGTTCTCAACCCTGCGCCAATCAAATTGTTGAAGCGTGCACAACTTCCTACGCTGACCAGATAGTTGTGAAATCCACTCCAGTTTAGTGCTATCACGTTGAGAGGCAGAATGTGCTTTGAAAGAAATAACCGGTGAGCTTCAGAAGTTTAATCACAATTTTTTTGGCTGCCAGCAATCAATATACAGCTGCTTTATTCCTTATGTTCCAATTGATAACATTGCTCACGGTTCACTAAAATGCGAAGCACGGTCCACATTAAAATGGTGTGTCACAACGAATGCTTCATTCCATACTTGTTGTGACAAGTGTTGCTCGTCGTGACTCAGTGGCTTAGGGATAGAGGTTTCGGATGATAGCCCAATGGTCATTTGCTCACGATGACGGTTCTGTGCTATAAGTCAGTTTATGTGCAATAATTCCTGCTATAACATATGATTGGGCTGTAAAGAGTTATTGCTTGGAAGTTGAGGGAGTAAGCTGACTGTGCCCTGCTTTTCTGTCTGCCACGTACGAGTCGATAGATTCTCCTCACCATCACACAAACAAGTTAGAAGGAAAAAAGAGTCTACAAATGTAAAATATCTGTCCGTGTAAAACAACTCACTCTAGAAATAAAATCTGAGTTTTCACGATTGACTAATGTATACATCGAAGCTGTTCTGTGAAACCACAACTACCGAGACCTGTGGAGAGTTTTAAAGCAGCTTTGCGATAAAGTTCTCAATGAGAAATTTGATCTGTGGATGTGTAAAAACTCAATTTCGTGTGCTGTTCTGCGCAGGAAGCATCCATAAGCCTGTGGTCGATTGGTAATGGATGCTAAAATCGTAGGCCAGTAAGGATAGAGCCCATCTCTGTAGACGGCTGGCTGTAGTTGCCGGGATGCCTTTATGTGAACCAAATCTGGTCAGCAACGGTTTGTGATCCGTCAGTAACTTGAAACGTCTACCATATAGCATTTTGTGAAATTTATTGACAGCAAATATGATAGCCAGGCCTTCCTTTTCAACCTGGGAATAATTTTTCTCTGCTGATGTTAACGGTCGTGCCACGTGGATAACTGCTTTCTCAGAACGGTCTGAGAAAGTGTGGGACAACACAGCTCCGATGCCATAGTTGCTTGCATCGGCAGCTACCACGATTGGAATTTGGGATCGTAATGCGTGAGAAAGAGATCTGAAGTCAGCATATCATTAATCCGATCTACCGCTGCTTGACACTCTGCTGACCAAGTAAACTTGACCTCTTTCATGAGTAATGCGTTTAGAGGTGCTCGCAGTTGATGCATTTCCGGGAGAAAATTAGAATAGTGACTAACCATGCCAGGAAAAGAGCGTAGCGTACTGACGTCTGTTGGTGCCGGCATGTTGACAATAGCTGAAATATTGGCTGGGTCGGGACGACGTCCATTCTGATCAATAGTTAACCCCAGATATCTAAGTTGTGGCAAAAGTAAGCTGCATTTATCTGGTCGCAAGCGCAATCCGTACTCTTTTAGACGATCCAAAACTTGGTCGAGCCTCACTGCTAGCTCTGCTGGACTTGTGCCGACCAATAAGATATCATCTAAGTAAGCTGCAACGCCGTCAGTGCCCGTGAGCATGGTATCCATAAGCTGCTGGAAAATAGCTGGGGCTGTTTTAACCCCGAATGGCAATCGGTTAAACTGAAACAATCCACGGTGTGTGTTAATTGTCAACAATTCCTTTGACTCATCGTCAATGGCGATTTGTAGATATATGCATCAGTTAGGTCAAGTTTGGCAAACAGTCTACCGCCTGAAAGTTTGGCAAAATTGTCTTCTAGGACTGGTAGTGGATAACTGTGTATCTGAAGGGCGTCATTGAGACCTGTTGAAAAATCTGCACACACACGAATTGAGCCATTGGCCTTTCGTACCACTACGATTGGAGCAGCCCAGTCCGAGTAATCGACTGGTTGTATGACATCTGCTAGCTGTAGGCGATCAAGCTCTAGCTCTACACTGGTTAATGAAGAATAAGGAAGCTTCCACGGTGTCTTTCCTTTATAGCTAGATAACAGGGAATCTTTTACGGTATCAATAAAAGTTTCCCTGCCACTCGATCCGTCTTCTCCAATCGCTCTCTGGGCTCTGGGTAAGGGCGACCCTCTAAAAGTCGGTGTCCTGTAGATTTTGCAATGATTTCGTTTACCATAGCCATGGTAGTAGGTACGCTGTGTTTCCAAAGGCATAACTGAGTGTATAATAAGTGTATGCCACTGTTACTCAGCAAATGAAAAGACGCGTAATTGATGTAATATATGAATAGTAATATACGAAAAATTAATGCAAGATGGCTGTTATGCTTACGTCCCATGGTGTCCTATAAGCTTTCGTTTTTGATCAACGTATATGCAGAAACGTTAGTGTGAATCGGGAAACCTGGGGAAAAGAAGAGAAATGGCCTTTAATGTAATATGCAGCTAACGGGGCAAACGGAAGTGGCACATATAGGTATGTAAAAACAAGACATAAGCATAAAATGAAGCAGGTAACTGGTCAATATATAGCGCCTTAATTCTTGCAAGAGCGAAATACGATTTCACAGCATAGTTAAAAATGGGTGATATATATATATGTATATATATATATATCTATATATATATATATATATATTATTCACACTACTGGCAAACACATGAGTAGAAAGTTATACGTTTCTCCAGCGGTTTCATATACCAGAGATGTATTCTGAATACGGTTGCCCCATGCTGAGGCTGATGTCGCATTCATGATGCTTCGCACCTCAGTTGGGCTAAACCAACTTACACTTAAACTAGGTCTTTTTGATGTGGATAAAATTCATTACATTATATTTGGTTTGTTCTGTCTACTTGATAACCTTCTCCAAAGTTGCACACGTCGCTCATGCAAATTGTGGTAAACCTGCGTAATTTTATCGCGTGGTATTTTTAAATAACTCGGACATTTTGTACTTATCGCGTATTCACATTTAACCAATTTCTTCCATATGCTCATTTAGCGAGTATTTATGTCGTCATATGCCTTTACTTTATTCGATGTCGGCATTTCGAATGATTGGCTGTTGTTTGACATCCCCGCTGTGGCTGCGGTTGATGTGCATGTTGACAAGGTGCCTACCTGTCGATTACCCACTACCTCGTCCATACTGGCTCTAGGAGACAGTTGGTCATTGCTGGAGGGGACGGGGTGCACAGTCCTTGTGGCCGTGTTAGGCTCGAAGAGTGGTTCTATGCAGTCAGTGTGGAGCGGACTACGGTCCAGCCACCGCTTTGTGTGTGCGTTTGATTCCCCAAATAGAGCGTGCTTGTGTTTGCCTGTGAATGAGTGTGGGCCGGCTATGTTGATGAAACGTGACTCCCATCCACATGCCTCCCGGTCTTATTCATTCCGGTTTACACTGGACATGGGTTGTGTGGTTGTAGCTCTTGGTGGTGCAGCGCAAGCCATCCATGGTCCATCTGTAGGCGCAGGTGTCCTGTGGCTTGCCACAGTGACAGGCAAATCCAAAACCGGATGTCGCCAACCATTCCGGATACGGCAACCTCGCTATGGCTTCAAATCTCGGCGACCCATACGCTCGTTGAGACTGCCAGTGGTCCTGCCACACCCAACGGATACACGGTTAGCATTGCCAGTCAGTTTGTTCAGGGCGTGAGTAGCCGCCTGTGTAGCAACGCCCACGAACTGGCGTACTACATCAAGCGGTTCGAGAGAATCTCCGGCTTATACTACAGTGTTTGAACGTCGAAAGCAGATGCCTCCTGCGAGAAAGCACTGATAAATTATCAGTGCCACCGGAAAGGGTTTGCCCGTCAGTCAAACGAAGGCAAAAGACGAAGCTTATTGGACCACACACATTGCGGCGACTATTCCAATGTTGGTAGGCTGGGGACCTCGTTTAGAATAACCAGGTTCCACATGGTGCATAATCACGAACTTCTGGGAGACGAAGCATTAAAGTGGCTCAGTAGAAACCGTCGGTTAGAGCCGGAAGGGCTGGAGATAATCAGGCCAGTGCTTGAGGGCTGAAACCGATGTTTCAACATCCGGTTCTACGTCCGATCGAAGTTCGGAAAATACTTGACGAACGCGGACGTAGGCAACCTTCGAGCGCGGCACATGTTCGGGCGCAACGATCCAACGTCTTTTTTGATTGGGTAGCTTAAAATGCACTGTTTTAGGATATATACTGGACATGGAATCGTAGTTTGACCAGCGAAGTCGAACCCGGCGTATACGCGACGAAAACAATCGGATCACCCAATTCGTCTACTCCACATCCGTGATGCCGTAACTGTACTCCCTGTTTCTCGACTTTTTGCTTATTGATAGCACCTTCTCCACTAACTAACAAATTTTTTATACCAACTGCTCATAGTGGATGGTTGTCTAAAAAATCTGATGGTTGCCATTGCTTTTCTCTGGCGGGAGGCAGATATTGACATCAGAACCTTCCTCCTCACGTTTATGGAGTTTGTAGGTGGTGGTTCTGGCGTCAACTGCATCATGTCCCACGGTGCACTGGACAATTCTAACGCTGTACATAACGACTTTCCTTCCGCAAGTCATTTCTCATGTCGCACCCATGTAATTGGAAATGTAATCAAGCTTTTTCCGTAATCCACTTCATTCAGAGGTTTTTTCCTCGCCATGTACACATTCCATTTTCAGAAAAATTTAGCCAATTTGAAACTCATTTGTATTAATGAGCAACCTTTATTCTACTATATCAGTTTCTTCATTCTGCCCAAAGCCTGCAGATCGACCAACAGCAAGATGATTGAGGCTGCAACATACG